GGGCACTGACAGTGGGATTGAAAACCAGTCCCTCGAAGCTCTGCTGATCCGTTTCAAAAGTAAGTCAAATCAGCGGCGGGTACTCAATTGTTCTTTTTTTTTCATTTGGTATGCTTCTGTCATCCGCCTTAATATCGGCGAACCTGGCCATCGACAGTGTAACAGACTTATCTGAGGTTGACCAACAGGTCAAACCAATGCACTTCTTAGAACTCCTGGAACTGTGCGTTAAGTCATTGTTCAACTGTGATGGCCAAGTTTACGAACCACAGAAGAAGACGCCGATGGGTTGGCATAGGCCTGAGCTGATGGCTGAAGCGGCTTATCAGGAGCGCTAACGGCTGGCCGTTAGCTTGTATCCCGCTCCGAAACTTGTGGGCCATATCCAGAACACAGACTGCTTAGGTCCATCCAGCTCATCTTAATCCACGCATATATACAGTTGTCTGGGCTCTATTCTGGTATTGGAACAGTGGATATTCGCGTAGAGTGTGTGTTAGATGCTTCAAAAGTCGGTTACGATAAACATACAGACCTACCGCATGAAATGTTAACCGAGATTCTAAAACGTGTTTTCGATTAGAAAAGTTAAGTAGGACTGTATTATTAATTATCATGCAGCATAATCCCAAGATATTCCCGTCACGTCAGGTTGCCGGCTTTCAAATCAGCTTTCCCTTGACCGCCTGAGCAAGCGACCCTCTGCAAGGTACAACTTTTATCCATTTATTTTTGATGCCTCCTTGTATTCAAGTATATTTTATAGGAAATATGTACAAAAATCTTCTTGTGTGCACTTGGCAGAGAATTACGTCTTTTTCAACCTTTATACATGAAAAGGAATATTTAATTGTAAAAACACAATTATGGATTTTCTTAGGCCTTACAAGGCCTATTCGTAAAGCAGTGCATCTGTCCACTTACTAATGCTGATGATAAAGTATACAACATGGTCCACCTCTATTGTCAACTTCTGTGAACACAAGAAATACCATTTTTGTGCATGTTTGCTATGAAATATATGTAACTTTTTAAGGGCATCTGAAGGAAATTGGAAAATATATACTGCTTTTCTAGCCGTTTTTGTCGGATGTAGCTGAAAAGAAGTTAATTCTACAGTTGGCGTCCTAACGTGACTAGAATATATTTTGGTATTTGGGTGTAAGTTAATTACTATTACAACCCCGTCCAAGTAATCTTTTCGAGTCGAGAAAAAACACATTCCAGAATTTCGGTTGATATTACATGAAATATCACATGTACTGTATTCAGGCGAACGTCACTGCTGCGCTGTCTTTCGGCCGTTGGCAGTCTTTATTTTATGCGACGAAGGAGTTTGTATGTTGTGGCCTTTCCGAATAAGCTGAACTAGAGACAGGTGCTCTTAACCGAAATAACACGATGGTTGTATGGAACGCAGGCGTCGTACTTGCTAAGACACACATGGAAACTCCCTCGTAATAGAATTGGCCTTGTAGAAAGGGAATCTGCTCCTGTATCTTAATGCTAATCATAAAATTAATTGTCCTAACCTTAATCTCCCTGGAATTTGGCGCAGGTCCCCCTGTGTTCCTATTCCCGTACCTTATCCACTTACTGTTCCTAACTCCAGCTAAATTCTTCCGCTCCATTCCTGGGTGACTGCTCCTGATTACACTTGATAAAGCCTCAGTCCGAATGACCAACTAATTCGAAGTCCCCACTTTGTATCTTCCTGTCCTGGGGTTCGCTTATGACTGGCTGGCATCAGCATCGAACCAGAAATGACCATTTCAGTATCCACAGCGTATATATACATTTCCTCAGCGGGGCACTTGTATTAACGTTTCTTTTTTGGATTCTGCTTGCCTCTACTAACCAGATCTAAGACGTTTTACTAACCTAAGTCTTCTTCCCTCTCTATGTATTTCAGACCTACCTTTTGACGGACCTCTCGCCATTTACCGAATACTGGGTGACAGCAGCCATCTCCAACGGACGCTTCTTTGGACCGTCTAGCAACCTCACTTTTCGAACCCTGGAAGGTGTACCTGGCCCTCCTCCAAAGATATGGATTGAGAGAAAAACGGCAACTTCCCTCACTGCCGAATGGCATTCTCCGGGCAATCTCCAGGGTCCCATAATCGGCTACAAGTTCAAGGTACTGCCCTCTCCTCCTCTTCCTGCTTATCTCGTATTCTCCTCTTCTAATCTAGTTGGAGTCTTGGTAGATAGCCAACTCGTTTTGCTGTGCATTGAAAAATCCCCTCGAAATCCCCCTTCATCAACTCCAACGGAAAATGAATGTCAAACCGTCTTTCTTGATTTTTACTTGGATAGCTTAGCTCAGCGTCTGTTCACAATGGTTGAGAAAGCGTGTTGCGCCAACCTGCTTAACCCTCCTAAGCGGCAAACGCGTTCTATACAAATGTTCTAGATTGTTTAAATATTGGTAGAAATATTGTAATCTGTATGATCATCTCTTTTGTTTAATTATTTTCGCGTACACTTGTCTGTCTTGCTGTCTTCTGATAGAATACAACTAATCAACCTTTGATTTCCACGTCCCCGTGACAACCCTAATCATAGCTTTATGAAAAATGCGCATAATTGAATCGCTCGTTTGCATAATCGTGTCTTTTTTCGCTGGGTTAGATTTGACTGGTGAGATTTTTCGCTCAGTGTGAACTGCACTGGTTTCCACAGTTCCGAGCACTAGATCGTCTAGACAAGTAGAACTCGAATGTCCCTTTGACCTCCAGGATTGCGTACTCCACAGCAGAAAAAAGTACGACATTCTTGTGCCATATAACTTTTTCTCCACTCAGAAACTGGACCCTTTCGAGCGTTTTTGCGGCAAAACGGAATCACTACGATCCATGGACTTGACAACGAGCATGTCAGACTAGCGTGTTTTCTGTAATGCTGCACCAAGGTAGCTTGCCACCTAGATGTCTTATGTTCTTTTTGTGGTTGTCTACACACTAGCAACTACGTGCAAAGAGGATTGCTAGCAAGGTGTATTCTTTATGCTCGGTCGATATGCAGATAGTTGACATAAAAAAAGAAAAGATCAGTGTCTCCAGGCAGATTTTCTTCTCAACTATACTACAATCGACAATGACCCTTAGAGCCATGAAATACTTCTTACAGTGTCGTTTTTTTTTCGCATTAGCTTGTTCGATTGCTGAGTTACCTGAAAACAGTTCACTGGGCTGAGGTGTTTGAGGATCAGGTTGTCAGCCGGTAGGATTAGCAACGTGCACGAGCAAATCAAGTAGACCCGGGTCCGGTGAAATTCAGTTTTTTTATCCACTCGATTGGATTTGGTCCTCCTCCACCATTAAATACAAAACGTTTGGTGTCATTTTCACAAGGTTCTAGCCATTCCCTCTTTTCATTGAGACTTTCATTTTCCTTCTTAAATCAAACCGCCTACCCGTTCTTATTGCGCCCAGGATCAGGTAATGCTCACTTCAAGCATAGTTTTTAGTACTAAAAATTGCTGTAGGCACATTTCTAGTTGTCTTATGCTTACATTTAGTTGTCGCCTGCTTAATGCCTTCTACCTCCCTATTAAAGAATATTCCATCCGTTTTCTCCTCGATTTTGGTCGAGAGCGTGACTTTTTTCTAGCTCGTATGCAGCGCCTAGTTTCACCGCAACCAGCCTTAAGCGTTTTGATACTATCACGATGTGGTAGCCGTTATGACTGTGAAGGTTGCCAACCTGTGGAGTAATCGAATTCTCTGGACTGAGGAGAAGATCATAATGATATAGCATATAATTTCTGTTTATTAGGCAGATGGCGCTGACAATGATGATGATGATGATGATGGTGGTGGTGGTGGTGATACCGATGCGGCTTCTTATGCCGTTAGTCCTTTCGTGTTCTGCCCTTCCTATCGTCGTCCGTTTTCCCTCTCCATTTTGTCCTCCCATTCTGAAATTTTCGTTATACGCAAAAGTGCCTTTCCCTCTATCCCAACAGCTGTCCGCATGCGACGATTCTACGCCAATCCTTATGTCGACCTCGAACGTCACCCACTTTGTTGCCAGGGATTTGAACCATTCCACCTGCTACTGGATTCAGGTCGCCGCGGAGACTGTTGCTGGCACCAGCAACTTCAGTAGTTATATCATAGCCTACACTCACTGCCTGCGTAAGTTGTATTCCACGTCTCCTGTTAAAAGAAATAATCCCTATATCTTCCGCCGTCTTTTATTTCCTACATGCTTCTCTCGGATATCTGTGTGTGCTCTTTATACTGCCGTTTTTTGGGGGGCTTATTTGTAGCCCTGTCCATTCCACAGCTCAGCAACATCACTCTCGTGCCTGATGGTCTGCAGCTTGCATGGTTGCAGGAGACACCGGAGGCACTATCAGCAGATCGCCTGCGCTTTGCCGTCTGTATACAATCCTCCGCTCTGGACAACCCTAATTGCCACCTGGTTCAGTCGAAACCCCTCTCGGAGGCAAATCGGTACCTGGTAAGTGTTCTCGCACTCTATACTGGGGAATTATATCAACCGTTTGACCGTCCTCTAACTGCTCCTCCCTCCCACTCCTCATCCTCCGTAACATATTACCTAGGGCGTTCTTCCGCGGCACATCATAAATAACTACAACGCCGAGGAGATCCTCTTCTCCGTCCAGTCCGCTTGTCGTCCGCCAAATTGCCTGGATGGATTAAACTGTGCCACGAAGAGCAACCTTTCCAATGCATTTAAAATTAACTTACAAGGTAGGTTA